TTTTTTTTTTTAGCCTGAAAGTAAACAAAAAACCCAAGTATGCTGTGGTCAGCTGAATGATACCTTTTTCTTTCCATCCTCATTCTTGTTTTTTCTCCCCGCCCCCTTTTTTTTCCTTTGTTTTTTCTTTTTTCTTTTTCTTTTTTTTTTTTTTTTCCATTAACAACTTCTTTGTAGAGTGAGCCAGACCTGGAGAAAGGCCTGGAGATGAGAAAATGGGTCCTGTCAGGAATCCTAGCCAGTGAGGAAACCTACCTGAGCCACTTGGAGGCTCTGCTGCTGGTAAGTGCTGGTGGCAGATACCATTTCAAACACTGGTACTTGAATTTTCACTGCTGCTTCCATCCAAAGTTTCCCAGAACTTCACATACCATGGGTTACAAGTTGCTGGGTGCAAAGGGTACCTGTTACTCCTCTTCTCCAGCAGGTAAAGAGAGGCTTAAAGAAAGGACTGGATATGGCACAACCAGGGAGTTGTTAGTGGGTAGTATCTAGGAGACCTATCTTTCAGTATCCTGTACTAGTTATAAGACACATTGCTGTACAGTTGGACAGAGATTAAGGAAATGGAGTGCAAAGGGATTCTAATCACACCATTATTATCCTGGGAAAATCCACCTACCAGGGCTGGCTGATCCCCATGAGAGAATTTGTTAACGTCTAGCTTTTGGGAGTTGTGTGAATGCAAATATCACTTATTAATAGGATGAAAAACAACTCTCTGGAGGGATGTGTTGTAATGTGGCAAGGGTGAACGTACTTGGTTTGCATGATAAAGATTTCCTTCATTCCTCATTTCAGCCTATGAAGCCTTTGAAAGCAGCTGCCACCACCTCTCAGCCTGTGCTGACTAGTCAGCAGATTGAGACAATATTCTTCAAAGTGCCTGAGCTCTACGAGATCCACAAAGAATTCTATGATGGGCTTTTTCCCCGAGTGCAGCAGTGGAGTCACCAGCAACGTGTAGGGGACCTCTTCCAAAAGTTGGTGAGTCAGCTACCATCACCAAAGCTTCTGTTACCTCTCATTCATCTCACAGGTACTGGTACTATTCCCTTTGGTGACTATGCATAGACCAAAGGGATGAAAGCCCGTAGCTGGGTTAGATGAGAGGCTTCTAGCTTCGCCTCACTGCAGTGAAGGGCCTACAGCAGAAGTGGCTGTTTCATTGCCTTTAATTAAAGACTCCAGCAAGCTATGCTACTAATACAAATACAATTTCACAGAAATGTTGAATCTCCAGGTGTCTGCAGTGTCGTCAAACCATTTGCTTTAGAGGAAGATGGGAGAATGGCAGTATTAAAAAGGGTACTTTTTAACACTGACAGCTAAGTGTTTCTCATTATTGCCAAGCTCCCTCACACATACTTCCTTCTCTCTGTGGTGCTTTGCTCTATCTTGTGCTGATTTTCTCTGTTTCATGGTTATCACCTTTGGCTTTGCTTTTCTGCCACCATCCTGGCCTTGATATTCCCCTTGCTGCTGTGCTGATGCAGTCAACCTGCTGCTGAGAATCTCCAGGCAACCTCAACAAAATTCTCTGAGTGCAGAACAGGACAGAGACATACACAGCATATTCCTGGGGCTGAGTTAAAATTGCTGAGTTTCTGAGCCAGATGACAAATTGTTTGCATTCTAGGAGATTCCTTTGGCCCCTTTAGCCTCTCCCCTAGCATGTGCAGAGAGCAAAGGATTAAAGGAGCTGTTTTTTCCTTTTTAGAAAAGAAAAGAATCTCTGCATTCCTGAGGTGCCTCTGATTCTCAGGGTAGGAGTGACATTCCACTGAGGGGTTTATTGGATGGGGAGTGTGCTTTACCAGGGTCACTCAATTGTTAGCAGCTGTGTAGCCCAGCACCAGCCCCATCCCCCTGTGGAGCAGGGGGGAGATGGGCCTGGAAGATGATGTTTTCCATGCACACCAGCAGCTCAAGATCAAAATATGGGAATCTGCTTTTCACTGCCAGCATGTTTTAGCCAGGAGGGGTCAAGTTGGTGCCTTGGTGAGTAGTTCATGGTATGCAATTTCAGCAACTGGTTTAAGAAGACAAAACCACCTGCTGCTGGTTGCTGAAGCAAAGATACAGAAGGCTGCTGAAAGTGGAAGCCTCACAAACTGTATTGAAAGTGTAGTGCAGCAATGGAGATAGCACTAACTGAAGAAGACCTGAATATGTTCTTTACCGCTGCTGGCTGTCAAGCAAGCTTTGACTCACCATACAGCTCTTAGGCCTTTGTTTAAGACCATTTCGTGCTGATGGTGATCACAGGTCTGGGATTTAAGCCCTTCTGGCACTCTATTTTTATGTTCCCCTGATTTTTGTGCATTTGTAACAGAATTGTTGATTTTGTTGTATTAGTATTGGAAGCAAAGGAGCAAATTGCCCTAGTGCAGGAAGCTTTGAACTAGCGTAGCAGTTTCAATTTCTGGTGGTTTGGTACAGTATCGGTGGGAATTGTGAACTCTTTGCTGGATGCTAATAATTCTTGGCAGGCAGTGGGAAGCAGCGAGATGGGAGAGATGGCAAGAACATCAGGCATTACAGGATGTACCTCAAATCTTTTGGAGCAGACTGTTTACTTGTGGTCATGTCATGCAATCTGATGATAAACACTGGAATCCTTGTTGTTATCCTGAGGTCCCTGGGGACATTAATTTTCTTTAATATCACACAAAACAAAGCACCGTAGATTGAAGTTATAGATAGTGCATGCAAGGAGTTTTAGAATTTCATGTGGTCTGGCACAAAGTATGATCCATTTGCAACATCAGGGACTGTTATTCCACCTTTTTCCTGTTGAAACTAAGGAAAAGAAAAAAAAGACGCTAGGCATGTGAGAGTGAAATATGCTTCTAATTTTTGGGGAATATTTTGTACGTATTTTTTATAACTAGAAAGGAAACACTTTAGAACTGTTTTTAGAAATAAAGAAATATTTAGCAAATATTATCACTGATAGTTTTCAGGAATGGAAAAAAATTTAACCAAAAGCCAATTATTTCTACCAAAGCTTGTTTAATTTTCAGTGTGTTCTTTTTAACTGAGAGAGAGAAATCTTAAACCAGTATGAAAACTGTGTGTGAGCTTTAGAACCTCAGTTTTTAATGAAAAAGATGTTTTCACGACAGCACGTTTAGAGGAGGAAAACAAAAGCTTTAGAAAGACTCTTCAGGAGTAGCAGGAAACGAAAGAGCCACACAGGAATGGAGAAGCTTTAAAGCTCTGCCATGTTAGCTGGCAGAGCTAACAGACCATCCAAACCTGAATGTCAGAATTACTGATCATTTGCAGGGCTTCTGACAGCAGCTTCTCCACAGAATTGTGTCCCAGTGGCAAATACAGATTTTATTCTCCACACTGCTGAGGCCAGGTCATCCCTGGCATAAGTGAGTGCAGTTTCTTTCAGCTTCAGTCATAACCGTGTTATTTTGTATGAGGGTTGAGATTGGTTCCTAATATTTCAGTAAAATGTGCCCTAGGAAATAGCTCGCTGTTTCTTAGCCTCTGCTAGCTAAAGAGATTTGTGCAGGGAACATTCTCCTGAGAGTGGCTTTTTCTCTTCCATCATCTCTTGCACAAAGCTTCATAGAGAATGGGGAACACAGTGATTTATGAGAGAGCAGGAGAGGAAAAGAGCACTGTCTGTGGGAAAGTGAACTGCTCTGCCTGTTGCATGTCCTGGGCAGAAGTGTCAGGGAAGTTGCAGAAATAATAAGGTAAGTGCAAGGTCTTCTGGTAACAAACTTCTCTTTAATGGAGCCCTTTACAGCACTCCACCTGTTTGCTCACTACTGACCATGCACTTGCAGGCATGTTCAAGCTGCTGAGGTGTTTACAGCACAGCCTGTGCAGCTCTGCAACACAAAACCAGCTCTGCAATCCAGACAGGCTTGGAAGCTACCCAGGGATTTCCCAAGCTAGATCTTATGTTCTCTGGCATGAACATGGCTGCAATTCCTAAGTCAGCAAACGGGATCAGTGCTAAGACTCAGTGGTAATTATGGCTTATTACTGCATTCTCAGGCCTGCTCCATCTTCTGGACCAATTGCATATTGCTGCTGCTGGAAAAACTGCCATTTTCTGTCACCTAAGTGCTGCAGTCACTGCCTTCCAAATGGATTATGCTCTGGATCTCTCTTCTGTATTTTCAGCACTCTGCTGCCCTTATAACGATGTTCACTAATGCAGATAGGGGTTAATATCTGGGTTTGATTTAGTGTGTCCATCATGCAAAAGCCAACAAGTAGCTTACTGGGGTCACATTTGTGCTGTTGGGCTGAGTCATTCCTGTCTGATTCATATTTTGTGGCAAATAGCCAGCAGCTCCAGTTACATCAATGAGCCAAAATATTAATAGATAATAATCTGGCAGTTGAGAAGGGAAAAATAGATGGCAGTAATAAGGATGTGTCGTTCTCGCAGGCTTCCACATCCTTCACAAACGAATTTGTTCGGCATAGATGGAACTGGGTGCATGGGAGCACCTGTGCTGGTTAAGCAAAGCTGACAGTCAGAGATGTCTTTCTGGACCTGCTCAGCATTCCCTGCAATTCTTTGGCATGAAGGAACGTGACCTGATCATTAGGTGCTGAGGCTGGCCATCCCCAACTGTCTTCATCCCCAGCATTTATTTTATTTTGTTTTGCTTCCTGCAGGCCAGCCAGCTGGGAGTGTACCGGGCCTTTGTGGATAACTATGAAGTTGCTATGGAGACAGCAGAGAAATGCTGCCAAGCCAATGCTCAATTTGCTGAAATCTCTGAGGTAATGTCATGGTATTCAGACACACAAGCCGTCTGGATCTGACTAATACCCTGCGATGTCACTCCTGTCTATCCTCCAAGTGTCTTTGCAGCCCTGACTTCTGGAGGAGTCGTGAGCTCCCATAGACTCACTGCTTCAGCTCATGTTCTTACAGTGATTTATACTTTGGGCTAATAGAGGTTATCACATAGACAGCCTTTATGCGCTGTCCCCACCCAGGGAATCTTGTAAAAACTGGCATTGCTTTGAACTTCTCAGCTCTGTGCCACCTTCATGCATTTCTAGAAGGGAAAGCTGTATTTGAGTTTCTCAAATATTTCTCTTGCTAATGATGCTGCTGACTGTGGTCACATGGCTTGCATTATGGCTGTCAGTGGAATTGCAGGCTTCACTGGCATGGAGAGGAGGAGAGGGTAGCTCTCTGTTTAAAAAGGCAAGTGTGTCAACCGTAATCTATAATATTATTCATTGGGCTGCTCCGATTTCCTCTCTTTAAGAGGAGTACCTTGTATCAAAGCATTTTGAATACTTTCTCAGGCTTCCCAGGCCACCGGCTTTGCCTGCGGTGCATGGTCTCATTGACTCTTTGTATTGTGGTGATTATATCTTGAAGAACTCAGTTGCCAGGAAAACATGAACTTCATATGTGTGTCCTTAAAAACAAGCAGATAAATAATCAGAGCTTAATAATACTGGGGGCGTTTATTGCTCTGAAAAAACTCTTGAGTACATTCAATATTGTATGTCCCTTTAGATTTTTATGGTAAAGGGGTAAAATAAAACATGTTCCCTTTGTGAAATGAGGGAAGCAAGGCTTGCCTTTTGGGACCTGCTACACTCATCAGAGTGCAAATGTTTTCTATTCTTTCCTTTCCTGAGGATTTCCATCAGGTTCTGGTCCTTTGCCTGACCACTTCTGTGCTCTAGTGGTGTCAACTCATTAGTAAAGTAGCTTCCCCTGTGCTTACTTTTCTTTCAGTACTACAATGCATTTCATAGACTTTCCCATTTATTAATAATGATATGTATAGGTAGTATTACGGTAGTCCCTAGAAGACAGAATAGAGACTAAGGCACCAGGGTCCTGGGCTCTGTGCAAATGTGATCCCTCGGTTTTGCTGTTTTCTGAAGGATAATTCTGAAATCATGCTAGTATCTACTATATTTGGAATGATGGTGATGATACTTTTGCATTTGTGTTCTGGTGAGGATTTCGGAGCTCAGCACGCTAATGCATGTAGCTTCACAGTCCATGTGCAAAGAGTCACAAGCATTGTTCCTTTTCTGCCATGAGACAGCTGACTTGTCCAAGGTCACCCAGCTCTGAGTACAGGTATAAGGAAGTATAACCTGGGGGTACTGAATCCCAATCCTGTACTTTATTTATTGGTGGTGTAGACATGCTGTGACAATGGCTGCATCCTTATGGACATGTCTTTCTCCTGCAGGTGATTTAAAAACTCCACCATCCCTGTCGCTATAGGTGGTTCCCTGCTTTGCTCATCTCTGTTGACATGTACTCCTAAGAAAATCGCTTAATATTTGAGATGTGTGGGTGCCTGTGACATGGAAATGGTGGATTTACCAAGAAGGAAAGCACATTTTTCCTTCACTGACTTGAACTGTGATAGGGCTGTCCTCCATTCACACTTAGGCCCTCCCTTGGAGGAGCAGATAGTCTCTTACATTCCCATGTGATATTTCAAGGTGATTGACCATCTGCTACATGGGTTTTCTTTTTCTTTTAGAATCTAAAGGCTAGAAGCACAAAGGAATCTAAAGATCAGACGACGAAAAATTCCTTGGAAAGTGAGTGATCCATGCAGAGGAGACTGTGGTTTGTCAGGACTGTGTGGAGGCTGTTGCCAAACCTCCACTCTCCCTTTTTCTTTTTAAATGCTGGAAGGTTATGGAGTCTCTGCTGGCTCTACCTGGGAAATCAGTTCCCTTTTGCTAAGTAGCAGAGCTCGTGCATAGTAAGCTGCATGCATGCATGGGGAAGACCCTGCCCAGCTTAAAACCTCATCAGTCCCTTTGGGCAAAACCAGGCCAACCAAAGGACTGCTGTGATTTTAAAAGAACATCTGCTACCCAGTGATAGCAGAAACGCAATCCTAGCAGTTATTGTTATATGGGGTTTGCTCTATGGTAGCATCTAGAGAGCCTGGTCAAGATCAGGTTCCATGGTGCTTGTCTCTGTGCACATAAGTAGAAGACAACCCATGTTATAAGAAGCTTCCATACTCACTAATACAAAAGCCAATCCCCTTCCTGTTTTGGCCTATTATCAGGATTTGGAAGCACTCAACATGTCATGCTGAACTCCAGAAGGAGGGATGCACTGCCAACCTTTCAGGGACCTCCTTGGCAACTTTAAGAGTGCAAGGCCCAATTCTGACCTGTGGGACCAGGCAGGTTGCCAGGGAATTGTCAGAAGTGTGCCATGCTGTGTGCAGTTGTTCTGTACTACCTTGTGTGCTCCTCATCCACTGTCTGGCAGGGCGTGCTCACAGGTGGGCGTCTGTTTGCTGTGGAGCATGTTTATTTCCTCTGTGTGTTCATGTGTGTTTTATTGGCTGTGCAGCACATCAACCTTAGAGAAGGAAATTTTCCAGTAGCTCATTAGTTAATAAACCTGTGCCTGTACAATTCAGTTGCGTTGGACAAGTTGCTCTGTAGTGGCTGTGTTTAGGTACCTTTTCCTTACGTTCCTGCTGCTTTTTTTTCACAGCTCTATTATACAAGCCAGTGGATCGAGTGACTCGCAGCACACTTGTCCTGCATGTAAGTATCTGAAGGGTAGTTTTCGAACTTTAGGCCCCTTTCCTATTTTCTTCGCCCTTCAAATTTTCTATGGAGCTGCAGGACTGCAAAAATAAACCTGTCATGCTGCATAAGAGCCTCTTCCCTTTATACTAAAGGGAGGGAGTCCATAGGTGGACCCTGCTACCTCTTCAGTGGTGTTACCAAGAAGTGCAGAGTATTATCTTCTTCCTCTAGAGATAAAGCCTTGCTCTAATCTGTAAGAAGAAGCTGGAGCATCTTGTCCTACAGCTCTAGTTAGGGGCCTTCAGACCCTTCCACTTTCCAGTGCGGCTCATGGTTCTGTCTTTGTTTGTGTTCCTGGTGTCAGGATTTGCTCAAGCACACTCCAGTGAGCCACCCTGATCATCCACTCCTGCAGGATGCTCTGCGGATCTCGCAGAACTTCCTCTCCAGCATCAACGAGGAGATCACTCCTCGTCGGCAGTCCATGACTGTAAAGAAGGGGGAGGTGAGTCTTCCTGCTTTCGTTATTTTCTCAGTTTCTAAATTCTGGTTGTGCCTTTTCTGGAGAGCGGACTAGGAAGTTATGCTATTAATTCATTTGTTGCTAAGATACAGTTTATGCAGTGTCCTTGTCTCTAAAGGATGTGGTACAGCTCCTCTCTGTTTTCTGTTTGGAAAACAGTTTGGAAACCCAAAGGAAAAGTATGATTAGAGTTTTGTCCTTAGCATTGTTATAATAATTTGTCATACATAATTTCTATGATGCACATTGCTATGCACTAAATGGGTTTGTATTTTACCTGCAAACTGAAACCAAACAGGAAGCCTGGGAGGAGAAAAAGGTGAGAAAACATCAGAAATCATAAAAGATTAGGAAAAACTGTTTTCCAGAATCTTCATTCTCGCCATAAAACTCATTTTTTGCATCCTCATTTCTAAAGAAGAATGTTGTAAATGGGACTAGGAAGCAAAACAAATGGAATGGGTTGGGAAAGCTAAGGGAGGTGATTGACTCCTAAGGGTGTAATATAGCTCTTCTCAGCTCTGCTAGGAGCTGGACTACACCCAGAAAGTTCTAAGATGTGCAGTTCCTTTATCTGCATGCAACGTTGTGCAAGGAGGGCATAAAGCTACTCATCAGTAAAGGCCTGCATGCCTCAATGGGCTTGATTCATCTGCCTCGTAATTTCATTAGAAAGCAATTCAGTCCTTCCTGATGAGGAAAGGCCAGGACTGACAGAAGTATTAGGAGAGAGAAGGATGTAGGAGATTGGACAAAAGAGAGGTGCAGCTCAGATAGTATATGTGTAAGAGGAATTGTGGCAGCATGCCAGAGACACTGGCTGATCAAAAGTGACCCAAATTACCCTGTGCAAAAACATCTCTTACAAAGCCCAGGAGATTGTTAAGATACCATGAACCTTCATGATGTATTCCCAAATCCTGTCAGCTAAACATGCTTGCTTTTAGCTGTTAAACTGATTTTCAGCTGACAGAGATTTGCTAGAAGCTGCAGTACTGGGAATTTGGTGCACTTTGTCCTTCAAGTCTTGCTTATTGTCTCATTTTGTCAACTGAGGAAGTCTGCAGCTGAGAGAAGAAGAGGAGGGGCTGAGCAATTGGAGGCTGAGGTAGAAGCTCAGACATCAGTCACCAGGGCCTCAGCGATAGTAGATGGCCTCATTAAAGTGGATGCTGATTGAGTCGTAGCAGAAATCGCAGACTAGAATGCCCCCTCGCAGGGGAGGGAGCACTTTGTGTTCTTCAGTTGTCTGTCAGCATCTCAATGAGGGATGCAGCCTTTGAAAAGTGTCATGCAGAATCCTAATGAGGTGCCAGAGCCCAGGCAGAGGGGCAGGCTCAGGAGGATCATCCTGATGATCTCTTTTTGGAGTGGTGTATTTGTCAGATCTTAGAAAGCAGGAAGGTGAGGCTTGTCAGGATTGGGCTCAGCAGGCCTGTTCACACTCTTATTGGTCCTGCAGTGACTCCATGTATGATGTGGGGAGGGAAAGAAGGGGACGTGCCCAAGGAGAGGGCTGTAGGTGTGCTGGAGGGGACTGGGAACCCTCTGTGCTCTCCCTCCCTGCACACAGCTTGCACTGAGCCCAGGAAAGAAAAGGACTTGCTTCTGATGCTTCCTAGAGTTTGCCTTCCACTCTGGGAATTTGATGGCGGATACCTTCTTCAGTCATTTGGCAGCAATATCCTACTTTTTTCAAAGCAATAATGCCCCAGTTGACACCACTCTGTGTCTAGAGAGTAGGTATGTTCAGTCTCTGCATAGTAATCCAGAGACACAAATCTGCTTCCAGCTACTCCATGTGAGTTAGTGATGACTGCTCCTTCCTATAAGCTACTCAGCTTGGGGTCATAGCTGGGTTTTGTTTATGCCTGTAAATCTTTCCTCTTCTACTTATCCTTTCCTCCCACTCGCCTTGCTTGTGCTTCCCCTAGGGTGACAGGACAGTGTGCAGTTTGCATCTCCTAATTGACTGCTCTCAATGCATAATGCATTTTTTATTTTAATGAATCACCAACTTGCTTTGATGGCTTTTTTCATTATTTGTCTTCCTCCCATTGAAATTTCCTTGGTGGAAAGGAAGGAGGGAAAACAGCCCTTTCCCCTCATGTATTGCTTAGGTGCTGATCTCCAGTTATCTTTTTTCCCCAGTCCTTGCCTTTTATGTGGAATATTTTTCCCCTTTGAGTGCATTGTGGGGAGGAGTCAAATCTCCTTTGCCAGCCTCTTGCTCTAGCTCTTTTTTTCAGGATTGCTTTGAACTGGGGAAAGCAGCCAGTTGTTAATCTCCCTAGTGACAGGCTGCTAAGGAGAGGAGTACAGGTCAGGAGAGAGTACAGGCTCATCAGCACAGTATTCCTCCCTTTTGAAAAAGGTGATTCCCTGCTCCGGGAGCACCGACTGTCTGACCTGCCTGCTGTCAGGTGTTCTTCCTGCACACCAGCCCCCTGTTCTGCTTGGCTCAGTAGGCTTTTTTCTAATTCTAGACATATGCATATAAACTGAAAGTCTTCTGACGTGTGGACCTGGTTTAATTTGCTGGTCTGAATGAGTATTTCAGGTAGTGCAAGGAGATGGGAACAAAGGGAGTAAAACCATTCACCAGAGGGACAGAAAGGGCTACAACAGGGAAGGCAATATTGGTGGGTTAAGCCTACGAACACATAGTTTGCTCCTTGCTGCCTGCCAGGCTGACTGTAGCTAGTCTTCTCTGCTTTGTGGTTTGAGGGTTGCGTTACGGAGGAGCCAGGAAAGCACCAGACCCAGCCTGGCCACACAGGGGAGCCAGGAGGGCTTATGTGCTGGTTTTGGCTGGGATAGAGTTAATTTTCTTCACAGTAGCTAGTATGGGGCTATGTTTTGGATTTGTGCTGGAAACAGTGTTGATAACACAGGGATGTTTTCGTTACTGCTGAGCAG